GCTTTCAACAAACGCAATCTACTAGACGACTTGTTGCACTTGCTCGCCGATTGTCGGCTGTATAAATCTCATAGTTCGGGCATTGTCGATCTTACCTTCCATATCTTGAAAAACAACGGGTTGGAAATCCAAGCTATGGGTTGCATTATGGAGTACCTATGGCGTACCAGTAAATCGCTCGAGTTTAAAGAACTGAACCTTAAAATATTACAACTTTTAGCATCTTCTAACTGGTATACTTATACTGAGCAGCTTAGCGACATGTTTAAGACAGAAGGGTTCAAAATACCACCCGAGATATTGTCAACAATTATCTCGTCGACCAACGGAAGTCCGGAATTGAAATTAAAGGCTACACAGCTCTTGCAAAGCTACATGCAAAACGGCGTGTAAAAAAACACTGCTGAAGTCACCGATTATTAAGCCTGGATATCATAATAATGCCAGTACCAATTCATACGCCGACATCGACGACGATATATGCCTGAGCCCTTGTTACACTCCCTCTGAGGATACCATCAACTGAAGAGATCGCTGGACCAACAAATTTGAAAATATAAAAACCAAAAAAACTGCTGCGTACAAATAGATTATTTTCTTGTGTTCCGAATTGTATGACAATTAAATAAAACGGGACTTAAATAACTTAAAATTAATTTATTATTATCTTTTCTGCTTTCCTTACTCCAGTTTTTCTTGGCAAAGGGCTTCTTGCCCTTACCCCCTCCCCCACCACCATTGGCCATGGGCTTCATGCGCTTGCGCGCACCTGCAAAGTGCTCGGAATCATCGTGATTTTCCCCACCACGCTTGTGACCTCTGCCGCCCTTGGTGTCCTCAAGATCTTTCAGTTCTAGCTTGGCCGTGCGCTGCGCCTCAGCCACACGCTCCTGCAGGGCCATCACTTCGTCCTCCTCACACTTGTAGAGCGGCAGCTGTTTGCCCAGCAGATGCTCGATGCGCTGATACAGCTCAATATCATACTGGCTGACAATGGTGATGGCCCTGCCTGAGCGTCCCGCTCGAGCTGTGCGACCCACCCGATGAATGTAGTCCTTGCTGTGGGTGGGTATGTCAAAGTTCACGACCACGTCGACATGCGGAATGTCCAGGCCGCGAGAGGCCACGTCTGTGGAGATTAGAATGGAGCGATTCTTTGCCTTGAATTTGTTGAGCGCCGCCAAACGCTTGTTCTGCGACATTTGGCCATGAAGGGGAATGGCGGCCAGACCCAGAGCACGCAGCATGAGAGCCGTCTTCACAGTGTTGTTGCAGGTGCTGCAGAAGATCATGAAACTATTGCCGGCCAGCTCGTTGAGTATGTGCACCAGATAGACATCTTTGTACTTGACGGGTATGAAAAGGTACGATTGCTGCAGCTGCTCCACAGTCTGATACTTGTTGGAGACCTCCACCTTGACGGGATCCTTCAATGACGCCCTCTGCAGCTTCTTCACTTTCTTGGTCATTGTGGCACTGAACAGGAATGTGCGACGTTCGCGAGGCAATACCTTCAGTATCTTATCCAGCTCCACCTCAAAGTCCATGTTGAGTATTCGATCTGCCTCGTCCATGACCAGATATTTGATGGCCTTTAAATTGAAGCCCTTCATGTTCTCCAAGTGGTCCACCAGACGGCCCGGTGTGGCAATGATTATGTGCGGTTTCTTGGCCAGTTGCAGACCTTGGGCCACCATGTCCATGCCACCCACAACCACACAGCATTTAATGCCAATTCCGCTGCCTGAAAGAGACAAATGGAAATGCTTGCATGAGATGCGAGTTTATAGGAGAATCCGTTTCCGTGCCTCTAGCCGTATTTGCTCAGAGGTAGTGACGAATAAATAAAATAATAATTTCATGGTTTCGTTGAACAACAAAATCAAAACTGGTTTAACATCATTGTGCAGAAGGGAAGTTCTGATATCAAAAACTAGTTGAGCACTTACCAAGCGCCTCGAACTGCTCGCCTATCTGGAAGGCCAATTCACGTGTGGGCGTTAGCACCAGCGCGAAATAGCGCTGCGGGTTTTCCAGCAGCGCATGCAAAATGGGCAGGGCAAAGGCCCCTGTCTTGCCAGAACCGGTCTCGGCCAGGCCGATCACATCCTTGCCTTGAAGAGCCACTGGTATGGCCTCCCTTTGAATTTTTGACGGTGCCTTCCATTTCAGCTCATCGCATGCCTGGCACAAAGTGTCGTTCAGACCCTGTGGACCGATCAAATGTTAAATAAAACTTGTTCAAGACGCGGGGTTAACGGTAACATACAAGGTCCTTCCATGTTAACTTTTGATCCTCAGTTGGTGCAGCACCGTCCGACTCAGAACCACTTCTAGCGGCCTCATCCTCATCGCCGCTATCCCCTTCGTTGACATCATTTTCGTTGTCTGACTCCTCTATCTGGTCTTCCTCCTCGCCACTGAGCTCTTCTTCGTCACTTGTTTGCAGCTGCGCTTGCTCGTCTTCAGATGTTTCCGACATTTTTTATAAATTTTTCATTTCGTACGCACGTGGTTGGCAAAACAGTGTGACCGCGTATTTATCAAAAAAAAATATACTTCCAGACCCTCCGAAATATACCTGCTCATTATTAAAAAATACCGTAAAGACTAGTACTTTGCTAGCAAAAACATGTCATTCCGAACGGTTACTCTGCTCAGACAGCTGCTTGGTTTTGTTTAAAGTTAATGAAATGCACTTCTTCGGCTGGGGTCGCTCTTCCCCAGCCATATCCTTGGCTCCCCAATATTTTATTGGCAAGGTAATGTGTCTGACTATCAGCAGCAGCAGATGGCGACGCCACCCGTGCCGACCACCGTGAAGACAAACTGTTTTGAAAGCAATATTTGTTTTATATTTATGAAAATTAATAAAAATATTATATTATAATATCCATATAATTGTCCTTTATATAATGCTGCATTAATTAGATTCTATTTTTCTTCATTATTAAAATATTTCATTTGGTTTTTTGTTCTCTTATTGCAATGTTTACTGGCAAAATATATCAAATTTATATCTTTTTCGAGGTGGGTCGAAACATACCAAAAAAAACAAGCAAATACTTCTGATACTTTTCCAGTATATACCGACCTTTTGGTTTTTTGATCTGAGTACTGCCACTAACCATCGTTGGTGCCAGTCATACACGGGGGCCAGCTGGTGCGTCGTCCCAGTCGGCTGGGGGCCCGTTGGGCTCATCGCCCGGCCGCGGCGCAGCGCGTGTTGTGACGTGTACACTCCAAATGTGATGCTAGATTAGCGCCAAACCGCTTTGTTTTTCAGTACGAAGTGTGTGTCGACCACTGGGTGTGTGGGCCGCCGCTTTGGTTTTTCATTTTGTTTGAGGCTGGTGTGCCCTCGGCCCTCACCCCCCCCCGGCCCGGGCCTGATCCAGTGGCTTACTACCTACGATACCCAGGTCCACTCTCTTATATGGGGTTTATTGGCGTGGCTTCGGGTGTTCCCAACCTGTTCAGTACCGCTGGAATTCTGAAAAGTGTCTTTGACCTGGTGGTGCGTTTGGCGTCGTTAGGCCATTAAATGGGAGCTTGGAGCTAAAATTCGTAACCAAACCAATGAAAAATAACAAAAATACCTGGGCGGCGGGCCCACGCCAATGGGAACAAGACGTCGTACAGTACACCCGTTCGGTTGTCCAAAAAATGGCCTCTCTCACCCCCTCCACCAGGTCCGTGGGTGTACAAAATGCACCCGGCTGCCCCTAAAAAAAAAAACCCCACCATAGAAAAAACTCAAAAAACGACGTGGGCGGGCCCGCCCCGCCCCCCCCCGCGCCCTGGCCCACACCAGGATCGCCCCCGTCGCGTACTGGTGCCCCGGGCCGTCAGCGCCCGGGGTTAGTGGTACTGCCTTCCGTACAGAGCCTACATTTCTTATCGGTTTCATACGAATATCAACCCTGATTCTGTTCGCTAGGTGTTTTTTTCGATCTGAGTATTAGGCTTAAACTAAAAGAGAATGGAAGAAATACCGCGCCCGTCGCAACATCAGATTTTCAAAACAAAACGAAAAAATATTTTATGAACGCTTTGAATAAAATAAATGTACACATCTAGTAGAACATTTTCCAGAGCTTTAGCGAATCTAATTTTCAAGATAATATTAGTTTAGGAGATATGAGCAGAAATAATTTGGCAAATTATCAGAGAAAATTTAAGAAATTTCTCAATTACAACAAACTCTACTGGAGAAGGTAATCCATAAGCAGGGTCCATGGGTAGATTTAATCTCTGAATTCGCATTACAAGCAAATGGAGCTGCCCCTTTTATATATTTTGCATATTGACATATGATAGATTTGGTGCAGTTGTTGGAATACGGCACCCGAGAGTCATTTGATTTCACTCTGAGCTCCGCCGTAGTAGCCTCCCCTAAAATGTTTCGGAAGACACCACTCTTCCATTTTCAGCGATCTTTTATTTTCCTTGTAAAGGAAAAGATGGTAGACCGGACATATTTCAGTCATGGCAGTATTTCAGCCATTTAGTGACAGTATTTCAGCCATCTAATGGAATAAAAGCCATATATTCTACTCCAGTGGCAATAATTTCAGCCAGTAGATTGGAATATATGCCAATTATTCCATGTATAAATCGCACAAAGCTTCGATATCCTCGTTCGAGTAACGGGACTCTTCGGGAACTCTTACCAAAGGGTTTTGGTTCAAGAATTCTTCCCTGCACTTGTGCTTGAATGCATAACACATTTGCGTACAGAAGCCGCACTGCGGGCAGACAAAGTCTTTTGCAATGTCTTTGCAGGCCTCTGCGTGTTTATAGAACTTTTCATTCGAGACATGGCTTATTCTCGAACAATAGTCACACGTGTCAGAATGTTCACGGGCTGTCCGAAATCGCTCCGGCATATCATACCCCCGCGGTGGGGTATAGGTGAATTCATTCACCCCTGTACGCTCCACACACTGCCCTGGCAGCCGGAGGTCGGGCACCGGCTTTATAGGATTATAAATCCATACATGCCTTCGAGAGGGTGGTGGTCCGTGGAAAGCCTGGACCGGTGCCTGGACCGGAACCTGGACCGGTGCCTGGACCGGAGCCTGGAGCGGAACCTGGACCGAGCTCGAGCTTTGCCCCACCGAATAGTTGTGCGCGGAACTATTCGAATAGTGCATATTTCGCACTCGGATGCTAACTCTCGGAGGGACATTTCCAGTCGAGTTCGCCAAGGGATTTGCAGAGCGGCCGAAAAGACGCGAAATTCCAGACGGGAGCGGGATTCTGCAATCCTCCTGTTCTACCTGGTGACTTCATCACCTAGCGCGTCCAAAACGCCCATTGCTGTCTCAGCGACAGTCGGCATTGTTGTTGTCGAAGTTGAAAAGCTTGAGAATATTTCTCGAGTCCATTTCTTCTGTGTTGGCGGTTTTTTTTTTATTGGCCATATTTGCAGCCGTACACACGCTATTTAGGTGAATATCACTTTATCACTTTTTCACGCGTCGAAAAAAAATTGACAGAGGGAGCGCGAGTTTCAATTCGGAGATGTGCCAGTTCATAAAACCAAAGGGGCGCAGCTGAGTTTTCTGTCCCAGCTCCCAGGCGCTTCGGCTCTGTGAGGCAGACATTCGGGTCGGGAGCTGGGCCGTTCGGCATGTATGACTCATGTCGGGAAGCGAAAGCAAGCTGAGCATTGCAAATGTATGTGTGTAAACAGACACGACAAAATTTTTATCAATTCTTATTTTCCGAAACCGTTTTGAGTTTCGTTTCCAGGTTACGTTGTGGCGGGTGCCCGGGGGCCGGGGGGGGTGGGGATATGTGTAAACAGACACGACAAAATTTTTATCAATTCTTATTTTCCGAAACCGTTTTGAGTTTCGTTTCCAGGTTACGTAAATGTGTGTGTGCCATGTATTCAGACATACTGTGCTTGTGTGTGGGCTCTACAATTTTTTTCCGCTTGAACTGAATTTCGGTTTTTCGTTTTGGTTTGATGGGCTGTTGTAGTGACAGGCGCGCGGGGTATTTCTTCCATTCTCCTTTAGGCTAGCCTTTGCCTCTGCTTTCGGCTTCGTAAATGCCTCGGCCCGCTTCGAGTCGGGCTATAATTATGATCCGATCCGATCTGATTCAGATTCGGCAAGTTAAGTTTTTATACCCGTACGTACTCAAAAAAGAGTTAAGGGGTATATTAGATTTGTGGTAAAAGTGGATGTGTGTAACGCAGAGAAGGAAAATTTTCCGACCCCATAAAGTATATATATTCTTGATCAGCATCAATAGCCGAGTCGATAGAGCCATGTCTGTCTGTCCGTCTGTCCGTCTTGTTTGACGCCTGGATCTCAGAGACTATAAAAGCTAGAGGAACCAAATTTTGTTTCTTGACTCATGTGATATCACACTGCTACAAGTGTATTTCAAAATTTCGCCCCGCCCCCTTCCGCCCCCATAAAGGACGAAAATCTGTGGCAGCCACAATTTTAAAGATACGATAAAACTAAAAAACTAAACTAAACGAGAAGGAACGTGTGAGTCGCTTCTGGGGACGCGACTCTACTTATACCTTCGCATTGAAGCAGCAGCAGGCGGCCCTCTCGCAGAAGACTGCAGTGAATCGCTCCAGACTGGCCATTGAGGCAGCAGCGAGGCGCTATGGGGCGTCAGACTATGCGCCACATCCCACAGGGATAGTGTTGCGACGCGTGGGCTACTACACGATACCCTCGCTGGATGATCTCAAGTCCTACCTGGCCGAGAATGGGTCCTGTGTGGTGCCCAATTTCACCATTGGACGCGAGGGCTAGGGCACTGTGTTCTTTGCCATGAGGTTATAAATTCATCATCTTTCACCTGAACTGCGCTAAAATTATTCAAGTGTCAATATATTTGTACATATAACGTTGAACAAAATCATATTCCTAGATTTTTATATTCGGTTTAAGAGCTAGGACTCCCGGAACTTGACATAAACTTGACTTAAGCTCTCGAGCAATAAAACGAATATTACCAAAATATCGTTTTTTTCGATTAAATGGATTAGATCTAAGCAGAAATACATAAAATTATCGATGAAATAATGAAACGCAGTTATCGGTATCAAAGAAAAAAAATGAAACTATCAATGAAATAATGAAACTGATTTCGAGCAAAATATTGCCACGAAAATACAATATTTTTGTGCGATAGGCGGCGATAGAATTCGAAAATTGTACAGCACTGCTTGAAAATTTTGATGGTCCCACTGATCCTACTATTGATTGAAACAAAAATTTACGCAAATATAACAGGAGGAACGGAACTTTTGTATTCCAATGAAAAGTAAGAAAGCTCTGTAAAATTCCATCGAGAGTGTGGTCGTAGTGTCGGCAACTAGTGAGAAATGCAAGGGCAAGGGCAATTAATGATAATTCTGAGTAGCTTTTTGCCTGTCCTATCGGTTTTCTGTGCATTGAAAACGCCTACCGTTGCGAAAATCTATGAAAGCACCTACATTTACTTATCTCGACCGCTGCCGCTGATTTAGCTTTGAACTGTTCACCAGTGTATGTCTAACGTTAAGAATTGCATTTCAGGTAAAGCATAAAATCCATTGTGAAAAATTGTGGGGTGGTGGGAGCAAAAGCAGAGCAGTGGCAAACGGATACGATACTCAATAGGCCATAGTAAAGAGAGCGAAAGGCAAGAGCAAGAGCATGACATGTATTTGATGTGTACTCAGCAGCGGCCGAAGAGAGCGCATTAAGCATACACGCACACAACTATAAAAACTTGTGTGGGAGTACACACACACAACACACACGAAAGGAAGGAAACTGGGATAGGATACAACACAAAAAAACAGGAAAGGACGGACGGAAGGAAGGAGTACCTCTGCGAAAAGTAGGATAATCGCGAATCGAAATGAATCCAGCGGTGGATGCGTGGGCGGTGACCCAGCGGGAGAAGCTAAAGTACCAGGAGCAGTTCAAAGGCCTCCAGCCCCAGGCGGGCTTCATCACGGGCGCCCAGGCGAAGGGATTTTTCCTGCAGTCCCAGCTACCGCCTCTGATCTTAGGCCAAATCTGGTGAGTGGAGTGGAGTGTAATGACTCACTGGCGTGTCGGCTATCAATCGCTTCGACAGCCACGAAGCGGCGTCAGTGCCGATAAGAGCTATTTTGTTTACATATTTGCTTTCCCGTCGATTCTTCGTTTCCTGTAGGGCACTGGCCGACACGGATTCCGATGGCAAGATGAACATTAATGAATTCAGCATAGCATGCAAACTGATCAATCTAAAGCTGCGCGGCTTGGAGGTGCCCAAAGCCCTACCCCCAACGCTTCTAGCCTCGCTCACCGATGGCCAGAAAACGCCCACAATGACGCCACGTGGCTCCACGAGCTCCATGAGTCCACTCGATCCGCTAAAGAGCATTGTGGCTGCCACAGTTCCCCTTCCTGTGGCCGCACCTGTCGCCGTGCCGGTTGCTCCAGTGGCTGTGGTGCCAGCAGTAGCAGCGATTGTCTCGCCATCGGGACTACCGGCTGGGCCCACGCCGCCCTCCAGCAATCCACCTAGCCGCCATATGTCCATTTCGGAGCGGGCGCCATCCATCGAATCACCGTAAGACTCAACAACGAACGTACGCCAAAAGGGCTCCAAGTAATGCAAGCAACCTTTTTATCCATCCCACAGTCAGGGGGAGTGGGCCGTGCAGGCTGCTCAGAAACGCAAATATACGCAGGTTTTCAATGCCAATGACCGGACCCGCTCTGGCTACTTGACGGGCGCCCAGGCGCGCAGTGTGTTGGTGCAGAGCAAACTGCCGCAGGTGACGCTGGCCCAGATCTGGACACTCTCGGACGTCGATGGCGATGGGCGACTCAGCTGCGAGGAGTTCATCCTGGCCATGTTCCTCTGCGAGAAAGCCATGGCCGGCGAAAAGATACCCGTCACGCTGCCCTTGGACTGGGTGCCGCCCAACTTGCGCAAGATTAAATCGCGTCCGGGCTCGGTATCGGCTGTGGTCTCGCGCCCAGGCTCACAGCCCGCCTCCCGGCATGCATCTGTGTCCTCCCAGGGCGGTGTGGCTGCAGGCGATGCAGATCCACTGGCCGGCTTGCCGCAAAGTAAGTCTCCCGAAGAAATTCTCTCGGATTCGCATTGAATACTATACAATCTATTTCCTTTCTTAGCTTCGTTTGAGGACAAGCGCAAGGAGAACTATGTGAAGGGCCAGGCGGAGCTCGACCGCAGGCGAAAGGTGATTGAGGATCAGCAGCGCAAGGAGCGGGAGGAACGCGAGCGCAAGGAACGCGAGGAGACGGACAGGCGCGAGAAGGCTCGCCTCGAGGCGGAGCGCAAGCAGCAGGAGGAATTGGAGCGCCAGCTACAGCGTCAGCGTGAAATCGAAATGGAAAAGGAGGATCAGCGCAAGCGAGAGCTAGAGGCCAAGGAAACAGCCAGGAAGTAAGTTCTGTCCCAAATCGGTGTCCATCCACATTTCACTGAGATCTCTATTTGCCTGACAGAGAGCTGGAAAAGCAGCGCCAGCAGGAGTGGGAGCAAGCGCGAATTGCCGAAATGAACGCACAGAAGCAACGTGAACAGGAGCGTGTCCTCAAACAGAAGGCACACAACACGCAGCTTAATGTGGAGCTGAGCACGCTTAACGAAAAAGTTGGTTGGGTTTGGGGTACATTTCCATACGAAATGAGTTTTCATTTTCCTGCCTTACAGATAAAGGACTTGTCGCAGAGGATTTGCGACACACGCGCAGGCGTGACCAATGTCAAGTCTGTCATCGATGGCATGCGCACGCAGCGGGACACTTCCATGAGCGAAATGGCCCAGCTGAAGACGCGCATCAAGGAGCAGAATGCCAAGCTGATGCAGCTCACCCAGGAGCGGGCCAAATGGGATGCCAAGAGCAAGTCCAGTGGTGCTGCCATGGGCGGTGAGGCGCAACAGGAGCAGCTAAATGCTGCCTTTGCCCATAAACAGGTGAGTTTTAGCATGGAGTCCTTCCACCTATTGATGTACAATATTTGACATAAAATTGGTATCCCTGGGCTGTGCAGCTGCTGATCAATCAGATCAAAGACAAGGTGGAAAATATTGGCAAGGAAATCGAGTCCAAGAAGGAGGACATCAACTCGAACGACGTGCAGATGACGGAGGTAAAGGACGAGCTCTCCGGTCTGCTCGCCAAGTGCGAAGAACTCTACAAGGAGTACGATGTGGAGCGTACCTCAGTGTTGGAATTGAAGTACAACCGCAAGAACGAGGTGACAGCAGCCACCGCTGCTTGGGACACGGGCGCCTCTAGCGGCGGTTGGGGCGAGCCTGAAACAGCAGCCACCGATGCATATGGTGGCCTGACCAATGACACTAGCGCCGTGGCCGCAGCAGCTGTGGATCTGAGCGGACCAGCGCCCGAGGGCTTTGCCAAATATCGCGCCGTCTATGAGTTCAGTGCCCGCAATGCCGAGGAGATAACATTCGTGCCGGGTGACCTCATACTGGTTCCTCTCGAGCAGAATGCCGAGCCGGGCTGGCTGGCTGGGGAGATCAATGGCCATACCGGCTGGTTTCCCGAGTCCTATGTGGAGAAGCTGGAGGAGGAAGAAGGAGTTGCCGTTGTTGCTTCGACCATCGCGCCAGAGGTGATCGAAGAGGCAGCAGCAGAATCCGTAAATCCGTATCCGGCAGATACTTACAATGACAATATCAATGTGGCTCCCGCATTGGACGCAGACCTGGCCACCCCTGGCTCCGAAATCGAGTATTACATAGCCGCATATCCTTATGAATCTGCCGAGGACGGTGACCTGAGCTTTGGGGCCGGTGAAATGGTGATGGTTATCAAAAAGGAGGGCGAATGGTGGACGGGCACCATTGGCAATCGCACCGGCATGTTCCCCTCGAACTATGTGCAGAAGGCGGACGTGGGCACGGCGGTCGCAGATGCAGCTGCAGCTGTGACTGACTCGGTGGATCAGGTGAGTGGAGTAGCTCGCACTGCTGTAGGTTGATAGACACTACTGAAAAAAAAAAACGGAAGCTGTGTGTACACCCCTCCAGAGTAGAGTTGTGCGTTAACCAATCATTTTCATCTACTAATCCAATGCTTTTCATGTGCTGTGCCCCTTTGCCACCGTCATATTTGTGCACTCGATACCCAGGAGACTACACTAAACGGCAACTCTGCCTACGCTGCTCAAGCTGAAACATATGCGCTGCCACAGGCGCACGCTCAGGAACAGCTGCAGGAACAGCCACTTCCACAGCAGCTGGAGCAGCAGCAGCCCACAGTACAGCTGGCAGAGCAGACCGCAGCGGCGGATGAGGCGCACGAAGACCTAGACACTGAAGTTTCCCAGATCAATACACAGTCCACGACACAAAGCAGCGAACCGGCCGAGAGCTATAGCCGACCCATGTCACGCACCTCTTCCATGACACCCGTAAATAGTTGACACAGCTTGTTGTTGCTTCCCTTTTGCAGCGTCCGTAACTAATCTTACCTTGGTCTTCTCCCTGCGATCTTCTAGGGCATGCGGGCCAAACGATCGGAGATTGCACAAGTGATTGCGCCGTACGAGGCAACCAGCACCGAACAACTGTCGCTGACGCGCGGCCAGCTGATTATGATTCGCAAGAAGACCGACTCCGGCTGGTGGGAGGGCGAGCTGCAGGCGAAGGGCAGGCGCAGACAGATCGGTTGGTTCCCAGCCACCTACGTGAAGGTGCTGCAAGGCGGTCGCAACAGCGGACGCAACACCCCTGTCTCGGGCAGTCGCATTGAGATGACCGAGCAGATCTTGGGTTGGTTTCGATAACATAAATCTCACTATGTTTGTATGCATAACTCTCTCTCACTCTAATTTTATTGCAGATAAGGTCATTGCTCTCTATCCGTACAAAGCACAAAACGACGATGAGCTCTCATTCGAGAAGGACGACATCATCAGTGTGTTGGGCCGGGACGAGCCGGAATGGTGGCGCGGCGAACTGAACGGCCTATCCGGCCTGTTTCCCAGCAACTATGTGGGTCCCTTTGTGACGTCCGGTAAGACAGCAAAACTGAATGGCTCCGCAAAGCAGGGAATGCAGTGAATCTCTCGAACCCAGACACCCCACAACAAGCTATGCTCTCTATGCTACACATTCCACACTCCACATCTTATGATTTATTAATATCGAATAAGCAATGCCAATTTGTTCTCGTTATGTCTTCTTTCAAGAGAAAATACCATCATACCTTCTTATTATGTTTAGTTATAATTTGTTGCAATATTTTCATTCGACATTTATGTATATCTATTTGTTAATTGTGATTATTTAGTTTTTAGTGCTGATATTTATACCTAAGTTGAGCGATGGCTGCTCCTCTCTCTATCTCTCTATTGCTTAGCCAATCTACATATATGCCTAGTAGTCCTAGTCCCTTTATTTTGTGCATTTTGTATTTATTTAGTCTACATATTTATATTTTTAACCCCATTATGTGTGTACATATATACAAAGCAAACTAATTAAATGCAATTCTGATTCCAATTATAATCCCCTCTCTTCATGCGGCAAACGAACGAACAGGAAACGTATAACGAGCCATCGGCTTTGGCCTCTAAGCGGCATAATGCATTCGCTTAAACACAAACGAAACAAATCTACAAACACACACGATCCCCCGGTGGGGGTCTGCGATAATGTTAAGATCACCACAGACTATACATATATGTAGTCAGTCAGCAGCATATTCATACGCCTCAAAGAAGGCTATCCTCCCATAAAACGTATAGGAAAATCTGTTTGTATTCGTAGCTCTTTTGGGCGTGTTCTTGGGATGTTCTCTAAAAAGATGATCCTTTGTTGAAACAAACATTGCAATTCGCTAAAATTCAGCTCTATCTCTCTGTCATGTTCATTATCAACTAAACGAAAGATACAACCGAAATCAAGTAAGAAAGAGTCATTTTAATGGATATACTTACACGTAACATAATCTGCATATGGAAATCCGAAATACATATTGATATCAAATCACAATTAAAATTACACTTTCGTTGTATTAGATGTGTGTTTAAAAAAAAAAAAAAAGAAACCATAAGCGATTAAAGTGTTTTTCCCTTCCCCCCCCTCAAAAAAAAGCTACAACACTTATGCATATACTCGTAGAACGTATACATATAACGATGGTTTTCTGTGTTTTCCAATAATATCCGTATATAATTGTACATATATGCATTGGCTGATTTGCTGTATAAGTAATGCGAGAAAAAAAACAGCAAAAATAGGTGGAAAATAATTATTGTTAACTAAATATTAAGCATTGATGATCGACCATTCTCTTGTACTCGTACTCGTATCGAAAGGAAAACTATGGAAATATTAAAGTTAATGGGGAACGGAAAGGCTTACGGGCAACAGTATTGATAATATTAATGAGATATAATACGTTTGGGTGAACGGCTATCCTATGTTTATGTTTGATGTGTAATCTAACTAATTTTTTTTTAAATTTCTAAGCGCTTCTATCAACTGCCATAATTGTATTTATTTACTGTCTATTGTCTGTCAACAATTGATAAATGTTGAAATTGTTTGCCGCTAATGTACGAGTATCTGTAGAGTCTGATGGTGGCTTAGGGACCGGACCGGATGGGGATGTATAAATTGAGTATGTACAAAAACCTATATAGAGAAATTGATACATACATATTACCACAAGCCAGTATATAGAGCTATGTTACGCTGTTCGAATCTGTTTAATGCTAGTTACAATTAGTCTATATATCACAAACACAAACCAAACATTTATATATCTACGCTATTCTCATACATATAGTACATATGATGATGATGATGAAGCACTGTCAAATGCCTTTCAAAATGATTACCAAAAAACCAATCACCTTACATGGATTAATCTTAATCGTAACTTGTTATTGCATACAAATAAACTATTTATGCGCCTATAGCTCTATTAAACGAAACCAAAAAATAATGAAAAAGAAACGTTATCAAACTCATAAATGGCCGATCAGCAAGACGGACTATTTAGTGCACCCAAGCGATCCACTGGTCGGCGGTTCTTTGGGCGAAATTCTATTGCATACAAAAAAACATAAACATAAAAAACATAAACAAAACGTATTTATGTAGCTAATGTTGGGTTGATTATGGAAGCATATGTACGAGTACTAATAAATTTAATTGAGCCACAAAAACTATGCATATACATACATACATACATACTATATACATATATTCATGTATACTTATACATATATGGAGCAAGTACTACAATTTCTTTAGAACGAAACTAACAAAATGATGTTAATTGAGATACATTCCCCTAAAATATGAGTCACACACATACTACACACCATGGCATACATATAATGCTCATATAAAAGCGTACTTGTTTAATCGTTACGAGAGTTAATTAATGTGAAAAAATTAGAAGAAGAATAATTATCAAGGAGTTGGAAAACCAATGCCCTACCCACACTGAGAACGAATTCTAGAAGCATTTTGCACACTCACCTACCACTGAGAGACTCACTTTAAATGCGAAATGGTGACCATCGATATATTTACCTATATACAAACAAAAAGAAAGAAAACCAAAATCTATATAAAGGAAGTGTTTCCATCTTCAGCATATAGTACATATACATACACATATATAAAGCGAATTCTGCAAGAAATGAAAAACCTAACAAACAAAAAGAAATACCATAAAGCATATTTAAATATATCAGTTTCGAAAGATAATTAGAAAAAACGAAAACAAAAAAAATAAAAAAGTAACAAGAAAACAAAAATACATTACAATTAAATTATGAAAAAATAACAAATTCAACATATTTGGTGCAATAAATGTATAAACGGAACTTCAAACAAAATATACCATCTATTCTTTCATTTAAAAAAAACTATATCGAATGCTTGCTTCTGTCCCGCAGAAATCCAAAACTCATGTTGCAGGCCCAGTGAAAGCCCAAGCCTTCGGGGCATACAGAGGCTGTGGCGAGTTGCAATCACAATCTTCAGGGCACCATACAATCGGTGCACATCTCCAAGCGGTGCGATGGAATGCTGATGGGCTGCGCCTATTTCCGGTTCTAGTGCACTAAGAAAATGACCCCCTCCTCCATGATTTGGGGACAGTGACAATCGACTGGTGGTGCTTCCCGTGCTGATGGACTGGCATTTGCCCAAGAAACGGCTTCCTTTCCCAAACACCAAATGATTGATAGGCTTTCCTTCTAAATTATTTGTTCATTAATTTTATTTTTAGTAAAATTGTCTTATATCTTATTTAAAATCAGTTTAACAATTTACAATTCTGTTTTGTTTTCCGCTTCCGCAAAGGTGTTGCTAAATTTTGAATTATTTATTTATTTTTTATATCCATTTTGAAATATGCACAACTTAAGTCATACAGTATGAAAATTGCAAACGTTTTTTTTTTTTTGGTTTTTGTCAATTTATTCAAATGATTCCTATGTATGCTCTCAAGCAAGTAAGTAATTTATTTACGGGCCAGCGTGTTTTATATAAATCCTTAATGACACAATCCGCAAATAATTAACTTTTGTTTTGACGAGCAGATTGTGAACAAGTCAAGTTTATATAGAAAACCTGGTCATAATGTAACACAGCTCTGATTTGGTTTTTGTTTTGTTTTTTTTTTTTTTTAATTTTTCCTTTTCAGATTTATTGAAATGACAATTTCCAGGAGACGAGTGGGTTCCTCCATATAGCTGTTTATTGTCTTTCAGATCGAAATCAAAATGCACATAAAAACGAATATTACAATATCTATGCAGTAGACAGAAGTTGGAACTTAAGCAGATCTCTCTCAATCTGGTCTAGCGTGCACATTCAGAAGGCAATTTCTTGGATAAATCATAATACCAACTACTTATATTGTAGGCAGAAAATTAAATTATACTCGTAGTTTGGTACAGGGCGCGTTGCACATTAATTACAAAATATATATGTATGTATAGTATTTTATATTAGTAGGTAGGTTCCTCTTCATACGTACACCCGAGATGTATACACACACGAAAATATTTGTTGGTAGGTAGGTTTCGTTCCCCATCCTGGATACTGGCTACTACTCGTATGTTTGTTTCTAGTTGGCTCTTTCTGATCTTTTCTGTTCTGCTCTGGTGCTCTATGCAGAATTATTCTACTGCATTATTTAAATCTAAATACCTCAGCATATTGGATATTCAACTATGTATTTCTTAGTAATTACTTTGCTTTGATTTGAGCATTTTAATCTTTCACTTTCACATGCCCCAATCATAGTCATACACTCAGTGTCCACACTCTTAAAAATCGTTCACAAAACTCTTTCGCACTCCCTAAACATTTTTATTAGTTATCTTTATCATTATCGTTCGTAAATGTTTACAAAAATAATTTATAAATTACATAACTCTTGCCATTTACTCGATTTTTGTGTATATGTATTTATATTTTATAGTTTTGGGCCAACAGATCTGCCACTATCCGAAACGAAAAGAAGTTAAAAATGCACTAAACTTTTATTCCCATTTTTAATTTTAATTTTTAGTTACATCCCATCGATAATTCTTAGTATTGACTCTGCGGCTATACAGAAATAAGGTGTTACACATAGAACTAAGGCTAAAATTGAACTAAACTCGGCGATTTACTATTTTCATATCGAACTAAGTGCACGCTTAAGTACGGATCTGTATCTGAATCTGAGCTTACATATTTTTAGTAAGTGGTACATTTTCGCTAAACTAAAACACAACGAAATCAACGATTCTCATAGGCTTACACAATGAACTTTGGCTACGCTTTGTTTAATTATTACACAATTAATATGCTTGCTTGCTATTTGGAACACATCAGCTGTAATCACTAAAGTATATATAAATATCGGTTCTATACTGTTTATGTACTGTGCATGTTCACGGTACAATAATTATAACAATTTTCCGCGACTAAACCCTAAACAAAAACTGGAAGTGTCCCTCCGTCGGGGATCTATGAAGAATGAAAAGCTTAAGAAGCGACTTAAACGAGGAACAAGAATAAATCAATTTGTGGCTCAAATTTCGTTCTATATACATTCCAATTTCATTAATTTTCTTTTTTGTATTTTTATCTAATTTTGTGTCTGATTTGTTGTTAATAATTATAAAGCTTTTTGTTTTAAACCGTTTTCGGAGAAACTATTTTGCAACTTTTGTCAACTTTATGCTTAAAACTAATCCATATAAATGTATATCCCATCGTCATCGTATCGTAGATTGCAAATTGCAGACCCCTAGTAGAACATCTCGTACTGGAACACACTCCTCGAACGGGTACGACTCGGACAACGTGTTTTCTCCTCCACATCGCCCTCGGTACTTGGCACTCAAATGATGCTTTCGTCGTTGTTCCGTGTCAGGCGAATGCTCGTCGTCGTCGTCGTGGTGGTGGGCGATGAAGTGGAACCTGGACTCGATCCTATTCGTGTGGCGGGCGTCGTAAAGGTGGTGACCACAATATTCTCGTCGTCATACAAATCAAAATCCTCGTCCTCATCGTCATCCTCCTCCTCCTCATCGGAGTCCGTGTCGGTGTCCTCGTAGTCCAGCAATGCCGTGGTCACCTGATTTTTTCTGCCAGGTACGCCCACCGCCGAGCCGCCAACCGCTCCCGCGTTCATACGTCGGATCTGGGCTCGAGGCGTGGCCCCAAGACGCGGCAGAAGGGGCTCCCGACCACTCTGCATAAGACGCTCACTGTTGGCTCCGCTGGCGGCGGTCAGAGGAGCACCCTCCCAGTCGTCGGTGTCCGCCGGCTCGCAGAGGGACTTGGAGTGTCCGTGTTGGTACGTTGATTCCTCGGGTATTGTGTCACTGTTGTGGTAGTGTTATGTGTGCGGTTTTTTTGTTGGTTGTTTGGTTGGTGTTGGAGTTGGTGACGGTCGATGGGTGGTGGATGATGTGAAGAGAAGGCGTAGAAAGTTAATGTCAAAGTTGTGATCAATTTTGGCTAATGAATTGATTTGGGGGTTTCAGGTTTGTTGGGCTTGGTTTAGTAAATGTTAGGGATGAGGCTAAGTCTAATTAAAGTACGAGTAGGGTTTTTAATAACTTCTTATAAAACAAGATAACTTAAGACTAAATTTAAAAGCACGGAATTATAAAAAGTATGTAGTTCAATAAATACATATATTTATTTTGAGCACTACAAAAAGCAAATTAAAATGGATCAGAAAATGGAAGATCGGGTACAAGAGTAAGCACTGAAGGAAGACGACAAAGTTTAAGGCACAGTATAACAGTTACGATAGGAATATTCTACATTTTACACTTGACTAAATTCTATCAAAAATACAATACAATTCCTTAAAAGATTTATGTACATCATGAGAGGAGAACCAGTCTGTTTGGCGTTTGATTTTGGGTTTATGGATTAGCACAGTGTGTTAGAGTTTGTGTGTTTTATTAGTGGTTTTATTGTATGTTACGTTATTCTGGGAGTTAGTGGGTGTTACCCTCTACTTTAAGTAGAATGATTAGAAGTTGTTGTCTAATACTTACACATAATTCGTGTGATTAAGGCCCATACACAGATACACTTTTTTTTAGGTTTTTTTTTCAAAATTTTTTCTATGGAAGTTATCACAGGTGCTCGACAGTATAACAGTCTGGTGTCTGTGTGCATGGGTGTGTATGCTATAGTACAGTATTTGTGTGGATTTAGTGTATGATTTAGCTAAGGAAAAGTGCTTTGGCTCTGGCTCTGGCTCTACCTCTAGCTCTGTGCTCGGTTTCGGTTTTGGGCTATTCGGACTCAATTGAGACGGCGCTAAAAATAATAATTTTTCATAAAATCGTTTACCAATGCATTGGCGTTCAATTATTTCTTATATTTTGACAATAGTTTAGTTACTTCGTATTTAATCAATTAAAATAATTGATAATTTCTTTTTTTGTTTTTTGGTTGGGAATCATCACAAAACAAAGAAACACAGCACAGCATACATCGTGTAAACATTTAGTTGATGTCATTTTCTTCAGTGTATTTTTATTCGTTAATGGTTAAGAAATTGCATTGCATTTAGTTGAGGTTAGGTTTTTTTTTGGGGGTGGGATTAAGGCAAGGATTAAGTGGAAAGCTGGACGGGAATGTGGTACGGAGTACGGAGACACAAGTTGTTATAAAATATATACAAAAACTGTTATACACATATTAGATTCCAATACAGAAACAAATAACACATACAGAGAGAAAGGGTGCAAATGAAAATTAGAAATACAAAAAAAGTTGTGCCCAAACGACAATTAACTAAAATTAAACAAGAAATTTTGACTACCTCAGCAGACCAGCATAATCTTTTTCGAATGCAGAAAGTGTATGGATGCCAAAATCGGATCCACCCAATTGAAACAACATCCAATATATACAGAAGAAATACTATATACAGTGGGGAGAGGGACCAGCTTAGATCGGCCATCGGAGGTGTGTGTGTGTGAGGTGCTGTGAATGAAGCTTCTGCCAATTGCAAAGGGAATGACCCACACAGAATCGATTATATACGAGTTAACCAATTCCATTTGGGACTACATATTTGAGATGAGAGAAAGATTGCTGTCAAAGTTCAACCTACGTTTAGAAGGGATAACTGACTGTTACTCTACAATGATATGCACTGATCTGTGATCTGTGGGCTTTATATACAGTATATAAAGATAGTGTTTGGTTTGTTAGTATATATATAGAGAGTAGTATATGCTAGTATATGCGATAGTTAGACTCTGGTCTCCTATGGTTCACAGAGACTGGAAATTCGATTAATGGCCGGTTTGGGTTGCGCTTTAGACATTTTGATATCATTACTATTATCATTCGATTTCTCATTACTTGGGATAGTAGTATGTGGCGCTACTCTCCGATGTGGTGGAGGTGGGCGTGGAGCTTGAGGCGCTCCCAGTTGTGCTTTCTGTTGGATTGTTGAAGGTGTTGTTCTTGTTCTTGGTTGTGGATGTAGTTATTGTTGTTGTTGATGTTGGTGTTGTTGGAACTGTTGTTATTGTAGTTGTTGTTGAAGTAGAAGGTCGTGAAGAAGTACAAGGAGGTGGAGGAGAAGGAGTTGCTGTGATCTTGGCTGTTTCTAGCAAAGTAGCGGCTCCCGGACTAATATGCAAAATTCTACTGGGTCTGCGTCCAGTTACAAGAAGTCTGTAAAATAATCATCAACGATAGATAGACACAGGACACAGTTACACAAAAACACACGCACACGCATACAAGAGGTTGTTTTTGGTTGTTGTTGGTGAGTGCGAAATATATTTTTGGAATATTTTATAAGCAAATTTAATTTGAAATTTTCAACAACTGCCTTCGCCGGGAAAACAGGGTGCAACAAAATACAATGGCAGTGGAAATACTTATGTATGGAACACCAAATAATTAGCATTAATTTTGGGAATCTGATCTGGATATTAAACAAATAATATGCAACGATGACAATTTATCAAAAAGCTTTTTCCAATTCTTCCAATTCTATTGATTGCTCAACAATTTAGTTGACACAAAAATATACAATTTCGATCGATTTTTTAATTTAATAATCAATAAAAATCAACTGAATTGCTGCTGACAACTTTATTTATCTGGGAAGTTGCAGATTTTCTTTTAAAAGATAAAACCAATAAGTGCATATATGGGAAAGGTCGCAAGGGATTTTGTGTAATAGAAACTAAAAATTTTCCTGAATGTAAAACATACCTTAAAATTTTTTTATTTTATTTCAAACTTATAAAAAAGTACAAATAATTAAAAATTTAGAGCTAACTTTTGCAAAGGTTATTGAATTCTTTTCTGTCAACGAATAAAATATAGTTCAATCGTAGGAAAGTATAAGTAAAATGTTTTCTGGGACCATTTTGGCTTTTTAATTTGGTATTGGATTTAACTAATACAGAGGAAATTTCGCAGAAAAAAAATTAGAAAATTAACAACGCTGGAAGAAGCTGAAAAATTAGTTTTTAGTATTTTTTAACAAGTTTTAGTGCTGAAAAAGCGAAAAAAATATCCCATTTTCCGGGTTGGTTTATTCGTGAAGAGGAATATTAACCAGAATTAGTAAAACCATTAAAAAAGAAAATGTAAAAATTGCAGCATTAAATAAAAAAATAAATTGCATTGATGCTATTGCATGCTCAAAATACAATAAATTTTATGCTCTGCATGTTTAAAGACGCGAAAAAAATTGTTTACCTCAGTCATTTGATGTTTTTATTTAATTAAAATAACGTTTTTTTAATAAGAAATCTACACTGATCTAATTGAAGCATAGCTACGTATTGATGAACAAATTGAAACAAAAATCAATTGGTATTTAGTTATTAGTAAAGAAATAATATTAATAAGCTTAAAGAAATATACAAGCGCCAAAGTAAAGCAAAATCGTATTGAAATGGGTCTTAAATAAATCAATCAAAGGGCTTTCTTTTTGGTTTGCAATTAAAACTCTCATAGGACCCATTTCAAACGATACCAGCCATGATATAGTACATTACGAAACATTTGATGAGATATACATATGTATGCATCTACATATCTACACAAAATCAATGGAACAACACAGACATATTCGTGTATATTTGGTGTCTGGCCAAAAATTAGAGTGGAACTTACCCGCTTAGCTCCAGCATGGAGCCGCGTCGCACATTCCGCCGATGGCTGGCGGTGACTGGAAACGGGCCGGAGTGTCCATCCGGACCCAGTTGATGGTGGGGGACGACGCCACCGCTGCCGCCGCCACCCAGCGAACCCGATGATATCGATTGGGAGCGCTTGTCCAGGCGCGGATTGTGCATGGACGTGGAGGGGGCTGTGCTCAGGGCCGCACCTGGGGGGCCCAGAATCATAGCAGAAGAAGGCACAACCATGGGATCACCGCTGGCAGAGGCGTCCACAGCACCGGTGCTGCCGATGCCAATGCTGCCGCCCTTCGAACTGCTACTCTCACGCCGGAAGAGACCTATGACGGACTTGGGCTGTTTAGGCTTGTTTATACCACCTTTGTTGTTGGGTTTCGGATCAGTTTTGGATCGGTTTTTGGATCAGTTTTACAACGAGTTTTTACAGGGTGTGGTGGCAGGTGATGGTGGTTTTTTGTGGTGTGGAGCGTGGAAGTGGGGCAACAGTTACCGAAGGAAAACAATGCGGGAAAAAGAGAGAAAGAAAAAAACAAAGTTAAGGAAAAATCACAAGAAAAATCAACGAATACATTAAACACACAAAAACTAGGGTGGTGTAAATGATTTTCTTTCCGATTTTCAGTTGAGATTTTGATGGTGCTTTTAAAGGAAACAAGTAAACCATATATATACACACATACTGATAGATAGGATCGATATATACAGATCTGTTTCGAGGACTAGCAGCCCCCACTGTAAATGCCAATTTACAATCAAATCAAATGAGGACATAAGAAGGAGAACCCCTCAATAACCGTTTGTACTTTGGTTTTCAGATTTTTGTGTGTGTTTTCCCCCGTCTAAGAGATTCCAGGAGATCTATTACTAATATACATTACCTAGGAATGTTGCGCTTGGGGAATTGTAGGCCAAGTACTCCTTGTTTGAGGCCCAGGCAGGAAACTCGTTCTGCTGCACTGCATCCGTGCACTCCTCCCCGCCGCGCTTCCACGGCAACTGCGACTCGGTGGCCGTGGGAGTGGCCACACGTCGTTCTCCATCCGATTCGCGGGACAAATTCCGATCCTCCTCGGGTATGGGATTTTCGGCAACTAGATCACAAATGAAAAGGCGGTGAAAAATGAAAATAAGTTTCAGAGTCGATTAGATATATTGGGAGGCTTTGCTCGGGCATGCAGCATACAGTTTATACACTGCATCGATCACATTTCGATTGTCCGTTCTTTTTTTTGGGGCCAATTCGCACGGTGGATTTATTGTTCAATGGCATCGAAACAAAAGCGCAGTTGATGGAGGGAGGAACACGAGTCAATTGGGTTTAAAAGACAAACAAAGTGCGCTCAACTTAGGTACAAGAAGTAAATAATAATGACATATCGAATAAAAATATAAGAATTCCCTAAAACAGAATTTCGAAATGACCACTAAAAACGAAGGAAGAATCTTCAATAGTAAACAACACTATGTCTGATCATATGTCTTCATATGTCTAATCATTGAATGAATTGCTTTATTTCGATACTTTAAATCTCGATAACTTGATCCCAATCAACATGCTATACACATGTCGTTATAGCCATCTATATGTCTATCTTGTTGAATGCCTAGTTCTCAGCGAATACAAGAGCTTTATCATTCGGATTTTGTGTACTAAAGTCCTATAATCTCAAACTAAAACAAGTGATTTTGCACATTCGACTTCTCAAATTGAAAAATTATGTGGCATCCAAAACTTTGAAGATAGGATCATTATTATAGCCAGAATGAACAAATCAACTGGAAACGCATATGTCGCTCTTTGAACACCTGGATTGCGAACTTTAGATGCTTTATGATTGTGATTGGATTTTATTTAAAAAATATTTAATACATATAAATTTAATCTATGCTCCATATATTTCACTCGTATAGCAAAAAGAAATAATTTAGGACCCAATCTCTACACTAACAATAAATACAACAAAGCACATTAGGATCCCTAGTAGGGATTCCCCTACACTATCTCAAAACCAAACTCCAAGCTAGAGACCAACTACTTAAACTATAATATAATTACATAAGAACCTGTAAACTTTACCCCCAAAATAGTATCCTTTAAAAATCTACAGCAAACATCCCTATCCCTAACTCCTTGTTTAAGTAAAACTGAAATAAAAATTATAAAAGTAATAGATAAATAAAATTAAGCAAGAAATTTTGTCATGCACAAAAATGCCATGCTTTGCTTTGATGTTTCTTTTTTTCAGTTTTGTTTGTTTTGTTTTTTTTTTAATATTTTTTTTTATATATTTTTTTTATATTTATTTTTTTTTATTTTTGATAAGATTATGGAGTTAAAATGCAAGAAATTTGGGCTTTTGGCAAAAGGCAACTTTCATTTTCATTCGTGGTCTAGATTCTACTTCCAATCAATCAATCGACTTTCAATCAATGGCAATTGCGTCTACAAGCAATTTTAAACTTTTACGTTACGAAACACAATGGTATAATGACAGCTATTTTGAGATGGGGTTTCTGGGCTACATCTAAGTAACACTTAACATGGGTTACAATTTTCGATATCAAAACAAAGGATTAGAATGTACTTAAGTTTAACGAAAATAATACAGATTAGACACTAAATATAAATCGTCAAACTCAACCAAAAATAGTTATCAAATCGCGCAAAGTGCTGAGCACAAAATACGATATATTGTACAGATGCTAAAAACGCCGGTACCAAGCTTAGGGCACTCTATAAACGAGCATGGTATAAAGTTTGGCTGGCATTATTCGAGTATTATAAAAATTATGAGTTCAAGGTCAACAAATATTGGTAATGTACGGATGAATTTGGTGGGTTTATTAATGGTAGATTTATGGTAAATGGTAGCTATGCTTTTGATATATCAAATCTGTTAGGGGAATTCGGAAATTTTATTTCGGAAAAAGTGGAAAAGTTAGGTTCTTTATTATGAAGAATATTCGAATAGAAAGACGTATCCGTTCTGGTACAGTTTCAGATCTATAAGGGAATTATTGATATTTTATATCAGGTAGGTAGGTGTTATAATTTATTTTAAGAAGGAATTATAGGAGATATCCTTGAAAACGATCAAAGCCCCAAATCTTGTTCAATAGGAAGGGAAATATCTTTTATTCCTTTGGATTTGGCATCCAAAAAAGGTTTCGACTACATTTCCTACAAATTAATTCTTTTCTAGTATTCTAAATATTGGAATGAAAATGTAGATTGAACAGGATCTTCCATTGATCTTCCCTTACATCCTTTTATTACTGATCTATGAATTATTTACAAAGATAGCTCTAATGTATGTAATGTATAGCTATGTATCTAAGCATGTTTGAAGAGCGAGATAAGTGCATGACTTATGCTTTTCTATATAGCATTCAATGTATATTCTGTTTGCTTCGTGTTTCGGTATGAGTTGATGATAAACTGCTTCTGAATCTGAATCTGGATGATAATCTTTTACCAATGCTCTGGTATGAACGGTCCCGTCGCCAGGGCAATATCAATTCAGCCGCTGTGGGTCCAACTGGATCCGGCGAGTCTAACTCGGAGTCGGGATCATCGGCCATCGGGGCATAATGCTGTACGACGATTCGTGCCTTAGAGGCATCAAAACCAGGCAGGTTTTGTATGTGGGCTATCAGAGAATTGTTATTTGCGCGATCCGAGTCAGCTAATCGTGTGTATCGTATCAATTTTCATTTTGATATGTTTTTTGTTTTAATATTTTTTTGATTCGCCCAGCCACCGATTTTTGCAACATGTTTGTGTGTTTTCGAAATAATTTGGGAAGGCATAAAACAAGAAAAAATATATAAAGAAAGTTCGTTGTTATAGCTTTCATTAGGTGTTTCTCATTTAAAACTGTAGGAGGATAAAAACATATGAAACATATACAAAAGAAAACGAAAATGAAATCATCAAAAGGGCTAGCAGAACTTTCTCCAAAGGGGAAACGAAACAAATTGCAATAATCTGCGGTTGAAATTAATGGTTTAATCAATCAATCAATCAATCAATCAATCAATCATATAGTATATTTACCTACGTAAACCTTTTGCTACTTTAGTCAGACTATTCGATTGGATAGGTGTGTTTTTATCGTAGTATCGTTTATGTGCAAAAACTGTTTAAAAACCTTTTGAAGATTTCTTTCATTTTTTTCATAACAGAAAATAAAAGATTATTTAAAATGATGGCATTTTTGTGTGAACAAAACAAAAAAACACAGGTTCGAACAAGGATGTGGTAAATATCAGATATCGCCATGACTGCTGATAGAAAAAACAACGTTGGTTCAGAGTAAGGAGAAAAGGTGGTGTCGAAACAGTGTCGATATAGAGACAGAGGCTATGTGGGACAGAGCCTCTCAACTCAAAAAATTAGTAACAAAAATAAACAAATATGGATATATATATATACGATCGTATATATAGATAGTTAAAGATTACTTACGTGATGATTTAGCTGTGAAGGTCAGGCCGTCATCCCAATCGTCGCTGGGGCCAACAACATTAATCTCGTTCGGATTCTGTTGGCCTTCCTCGGCTGTTTCATTAAGCACATTGTTAATATAGTCTTTTGAATGGTTTAAATTCGGATTAAATAAAATGAATGAGGGCACAGGCAGGAGGCAGTGGAGTTTCGTTTGGAGTATGTTTATGCAGTTTTAGTTATATGTTTTGTGGTTTTTATTCGGCCAATTGTGTGTGTGGGATTTCGTGTAATGCGGCATCATTTTGTAAAGGTGGGAAAAGCAATGCGGGGAAGAAAGAGAATATTTTTGTATAGGAAAATCAATTAGTCGCCAATTTTTGTTGAAAATCATTTATAATATGTCACATCAAATGAAAATGGTGTAGGTATGGGTATGGGTTTTTGCGAGTTTAAAAGGTTTTTTCTTTTTGATTTTAATATTTCACGGGAATGCTTTGGGTATCAATCTACTTCAATTGAGAGCAAGGGAATGCTCATTGCTGATTTAAACCTTAGAAACCCTCCCTTTCACATGCATATGTTTAATTTACAAAAAAATGTATGGATCGTTTTTAGCAGGGTGTTTAAGTACAAATGAAGGAATATGAGTTTCTAGATATAGACAGCGCTTGATTATTATTTTATTATCTACAAATATTTTCAGTATTCAAGGCTGTGTAAAACTAAAGGAGATAAAGTTACATTTTGAGGGATTTTGTTTTCTACGAAAAACTTTTAATCTGGGAACAGAAAAATCTGTTCCAATTTAATTAGAATTTGTTTGTTTGCTGATTTGATAGCGTTTCATTTACCTATTTCTAATCTACGGTATTTGTTAAGTGAATTGTGAGAATGTCTTTTTCTGTAAGATTTTTTTCGTGAATGGTTTGAACTCGAATTCGTACCATTGGCGAGCTGCTTGGTGGTGCCGTTCTGTTGGAAATCATGGAACGAGACATGATTCTGTTTGACATTCTCCTTGGGTTCCTGTGTTGTGCCAAAGAATAAGAATTAATATGGGTTATAGAATATATAAGTTATAGGCATTTACTAACCTTATTGCTAGCTCCACGTTTGCTGCGCTTGTGATGTTTGCGATCATTGAACATCCTTCGGAAATTCATTTGCATTTTGTAATTGACCTAAAAATGAGAGGGATTCCCATGAGTTATCCGTTTGAGTCCTTCAGATATTGGAGATGCAATATGTTTTGTGTGTGTTTTGATTGCTTTATTGCGGACGAGACAACCGACTCACCTGGGTGGATAAATCTCTGTCATCTACTGCGTGTCGGCTATAACTAAGACGACGGTGCTGTAAGAACATTGATGGAATGCAAATTAGGTTTCAAAATCATAAAAATGCCAGGCACAGAAGTGATGTAATTAAAGAAAGTTTTTGAGTTGCAATTAAGAACAATTATATACTATAGTATAGATATATAATTATATGTAAATTACGATTAATTTGTCTGGACAACTAGCAGGAACATTAACGGAGCAAGTGTAAAACGACTTTCCATAACATTTGTACAGCTTATGAGTAAAGATTAATATAGATAAAGTGCTCGGGCCCAGTAGGGCCAACTTTTTTTAGGACTCTTCGGTTGACCGAAGTCTAGCTTTTCTATGATATACATATATTGTAAGTACTAATAAGTATTTGAGAGCACAACAATTATTAGACAGACAACAGGTACATTTGTTGGTGTTTACATATATGTACATATATGTAGTATTGGTTGGAAGAGAGGGTTAAAAGAATTCAATGCAAATATAACAAAATAAAGTGCTCAAAGGAGATTTTAAGAGGGAATATACATACAAAATGAAGCAAAGGAATGGAGTTAAGCATAAGAAAGAAGGTATGGTATGGTAAAAAATAAACTAAGATATAAGTTTGAAATTCTAAAAGAAAGTTGAATTACTTAAGGAAATTTGTGTTCAAGTATTTTTTGTAAGTGTCAACATTAACTTTTACGATACGAAACATTTACATTATATATTTGCAAGTTCTTTTATTATGAGATATTAATTAAATACTTTATTTAAAAGAATTGCTTGTGTGATCTGTTATTCTTTTCTACATTTTTGGAAATATGATTACTAATCAGTTTAGATTTCTTCCCGACTTTTGGGAGTTACTTTCGAATGACTGTTCACTTATCGAAATGGGTTTAACTTTTCGGAACCCTAAGCATTGTGGAGTTCCTTTAGTAAATACTTGGAGAATTAGGAAGATTGTGTTTTGTATACTAATTTTGCAAAGTATTTTATGTATTATTATTATTGAAAATATTGATTTTTTTGCCGCCCATTAGGATTTTGTAGAAGATCCCTTTATGTTATGTTTTTAATGAACTTAAGCAGTTGGGTGGGTCTCATTTTTCCTAAAGCTTCTATTCTTATATTCTATGTAAGGCATGAGTGTAGATCATTCAAAATTAGAATATTTTAAGGATTGGGAACTAGCAATCTTAAGTAAAATAGTTTGGTATCTTAAAGTATAATCTTCTGGGAATATTTTGAATTTTCAAAAAGTCTTAAACCATTAAGACACACCGTTTGAACATGCACACGACATGTATGTTGTTCTTGAATTCTTGGGAGCGAACTTCGATAACAGTATTTTTTTTTTTTTGATTCTTGTGCATTGTTTTTTGCTTTTTTCTCTTGTCTCATCTGGCTGGCGTCGGGAGTAATGGGCGCAATTGGGCGAAAGGACGTGCCCAACGTTGCTATACTATATGGCACTTTTATTCCCTTGTCTACAGATATTCCTATTCAAAATCTTATTTTCTTTCAAGGAAATGCATATTAATAAGCGGATTTTAGCATTCCTTTCGTTAATAAAAGATTAATAGTATAAGATCGTATTAGAGAACACCAATTAGAGAACATTTAGAATAGTAGATTACGAGATTAAAGTTTTTGTTTTGGTTGCAGTCAAAGAGTACAGAGACACACACACACACACAGCACAGAAGGAACGTGTAACATTTAATAAAGTTTTGAGTTTCATAGTTAATCCGAAACGAAGTTTATATCAAAAATCAATCAAGAAACAGATCAAATTAAATAGAACTAAAACCAATTAACCAATTTATTCGTACCATTTGTATTGAGGCCTGTATCGATAATATATCGATAGTTTATCGAAAGTTTTGATTATTTTTTTGGGGGTTTTTTAGGCACACGAAAGCGGATTTTTTGATTTATTTTGCAACACGTTGTCGAGAAGTTGATGTTGAGTATCGAAACAACGGGAGAGAAATTAAATAAACGATTAATCACAAATATATCTATAGATGTATATAATATATAGTATATATATAGTTGGCGGATTGAGGCTATATAGAGCTAGAAAGCGTAGGAGTGTCTCAAAAACTAAATGCCCAAAGTACAAAGAAAAGGAAAAGCCAAAGGTGAAGAAGTTACAGTAGAACTCTTGGCATGGATGGAGATTCTTTAGTGAATAACTAAGCAGATATACAGATAGACAGAGAGAAAGAGAGAGCAAAGAAGTTGTGCCAGATAGATTGACAGATATAGTAGTCAAAAACTCTTTGGGCTGGTGGTGTGCTAAACTTTTTACGCTATATAGAAAATCCAACCAAAAGAAAAGTGACTGCAAATTGCGAAACGAAACAGAAACGATGGATATCGGAATAGAATTCTTCCCTGCTCGAATGATACATACCCTTCTATAAGGCTTCAGCTCTTCGGCCAACATATGATGGATCTTGGCATCAGTCAGATCCTTCTTGGATGGATTGTAGTCCAGCTCAGCCATGTCCAGATTTCGCGAACATGTATTGTCTAGATTTGTCAGACTGGGACTGCAAAGTCACATCATAATATCATTATTATATATTACAAATAAAACTAGACACAAGCTATAGATCAATTCTAATAATAGTAGAATAGAATAGTAAATCATACAAGTGGTTAAACGAATTTCAGATCAATAGATCTATATAGTCGTGTACTGGTTAGTGGCCGGATTAAATTTAACTAAAAGTTTTGTGCAGAGTTTCATGCTTCTTCTACAACAGACAGATTGGAGTGTTTCTGATCGTACTGCATGCAGATCAATCAATCGATCGATCGATCGATTGTGAGTGAGTACAGGCATATCATATTATTGAGAGCATCGGTTTAGCGAGCCATATTCAATCCAAAATTCGTTTACCATGTGGTATATATGGTTGGCGGTGCCCACCTGACACCAATATAGTTATTGGTATAATTCCTAAACAGAGCGCTCATCGATTCGGTGCCAGTCATTTGCCCAATTGTCGAGGGATTCCTTCGCATCACCTCCATGGCATCGCGCATCGTTAGCTTCGAGTACGTCTCAATGATCTTCGGTTCGGCGCCCTAAACGGGGGTACACGTGGGAAAGGATGGATGTACTTGAGTATTTTAAGACCTCAAAAGGGGTTAAGAAATCAATTTGCTCAACACTAAGCCTCTGCATCGCCTTCGTACAGGCGCCGGAGATAAATGGTGGTCGTCGTCCTTCGATCTGTAGGCTTTGGCTTATTTCTATTCAAATGTTTCTCATAGTTTTGCATGGGAATGTGATCCAATAGATGCAATTCATGCACTTCCTGTGTGGCAGGTTTTAGGATGTGTTTTTTGTGTTATCCTTAGCTTCCTGTAAACAACCAAATCTCACCTTCAGATCCCTTATAATCAGGGGGCGGATAAAGCGATTGTCGAAACGCTTGAATTTATCACGCACATTGTAGTTGCCCGTCTTGCCCACAATATCCTCAATGCCAGCCATCAAGTGATCCATAAACTGCAACAAAAAATTGAACCATAAGTCAGAAAGGATCTATTATAGATATATGGTAGCATTACCCTCTCGTGTATACGCTCATTCATGGTGGGTTTACGCTTATTTGCACGCTTCACATTCAATATGCTGACCAGCGGCTTGATGGTGATGCCTTGCAGGAAGACAGTAAAGTAGATCACAGCTATGGTGGTGGTCACAAACATATTCTTTTGCTTGACCACATTCTCATCGACCAGCAGCACGAGGGCAAAGGCCACAGCGCCACGAAGGCCGCCATAGGACATCACAAACTGATCCACAGCCGACAGCTTATGGAGACGGAAGCGATTGGCAATGGCCGTCAAAAGGATAACACCTAAATAAGAGAGAAATTACTAGTGTTTGCTAAACAAATAAGTTAACGATATATTTCACTCACCTAACACCCGAAATACAGAGCAAAATGTAATGGTTAGGATCACAAACCATGTATTCCATACATGCATATTGTTGACCGTGGCCACGCCTAGGAACATAAATATAATCGTTTCCGCCGAACTGGATAACATCTTTAAAGCATATTTCACGGTTGTGTGCGACTTTTGGGATATATTCGACTCTACATAGTTCTTCATTGTAATACCACAGAAGGTTATCCTTTGGAAATAAAATATATATTCAATGATATATCATATACACATTACAGGCCATATTCTACTCTACTCACGCCAATATACCACTCATGTGAAAGATTTCCGCATTTAGATATGCCAGATAGGCCATCACAAAGATAAAGATGGGTTCAATTACACGCACATGATCGGTGAAACGTGTCACCAGACCCGTCAGGAAGCCCCAAATGACGCCAATGGCTGTGCCACCCAGGGCCACAATGAAGAAGGAACCGCAACCGCTAAATATATCCTGGGGTATCACATTGTCCAATCCAATGGTGGTGTAACCCTCCATCATGTGGTACATGACAACCTGTGCGGGGAGAGGGGCAGAATGGGGTAGAAGTTAAGCTCTTGCATCCATTAAGCATGTCAAGCGGCTGTTGACTTAATTGCTGCGACATCCGTGGACCATCCATCCATCAATAAATAACGTTGTTTGGCTTACCGTAACGGCATCGTTCAGCAGGGATTCGCCAAAGACAACAATATATAGGATCTCATTGACGTGTATCTCCTCGAATACGGCCAGCACAGCCACCGGATCCACGGCGGATATCAGCGATGTAAACAGGAAGATATCCATCAGTCCTGGCGTCTCGGTCTCCCCATAGATGCCCGTCAATCCACAGGCATACAGTGCACCTCCTGCAGATAGAGAGAAATCAGAGGAAAGCGATGAGAGGTTGAGGCTAGATGCATTCTCTACGTAATTTATTTTTTTCCAACCAATCAATTCCCGGGACTTAATTAGAGATTGTCCCCACTATGTGCAGGGCCAATCGATTGCAGTTTGTGTGTGGCATTGACATTGGAACTATCTACTCGAACGAGTATCTCGAAGATACTCGAAGTCAATTGATAGACGAAGCTCTTCCGCCAGTAATTGAATTTGTAACTACGCAAAATTATTGTTTTTCATGACTATTTGTTCAAGGTTCTTAAGTGGACAGATACCCCGACAATGTGATAAGCAATGGCAGCTACAAGTATATGATAAACAATGGCAGCTACTAGTATATTTGAGCTCTTTCAAAGGTGTTTAGTTGATATAATCTAAGAATTCGATGAATGGGGTGCTACAGAGATGAGCTACATCCATTCGGGGTCACCAATAAGCATTTATATATTGGAAATATATATACGATGGGTTAAATTAGATTCCTTCAATTTCTCCTATTAGGGTGGTGATTCCAGGCATTTCCCGCCCAAAACGACCGAGAGGCGCTGCTGATCTGCAAGATCTTTTTCACTGTTAGTTTCACATAATTATACCCGTACTCGAAGAGTATGTATGTATGTATTTGTGGAAAAAGTGCATGTGTGCAACGCAGAGAAGGAAACGTTTCCGACCCTTAAAGTATAAATATTCTTGATCAGCATCAATAGCCGAGCCTGTCTGTCTGTCTGTCCGTCCGTCCGTCCGTCTGTCTATCCGTCCGTCCGTCAGAGACTATAAGAGCTAGAGAAACCAAATCACTAAATCCGGTTCAAAATATTGCCACGCCCCTTTTTGATCCCACAAAAGACGAAAATCTGTGGCAGTCACAATTTTAAAGATTCGAAAAAACTAGAAACGTAGTATCCTAGAGAATGGCCATATCTATCGGGTTGCCGAATCTGGTACAGATTGTATCATTTTTATAACCAGAATAAAGAAATTAATTTTCAGTTGCTTCCCCCACCTCTCCGGCGCTGCTGACGCTACTTATTCTCTTTCTCGCTCGCTCTTTTCACTCTGCCCTTTCATAGAGAAGATGTAGAATCTACATAGTGCATGTAGAATATACATAGTGTATGTAGAATCTATATTTTAGATGTAGATGAAGATGACAGATGTAGCAAAAATATTTCAAATGTAAAATATTTAAAAAATCCTAAGCTCACAAATTTATGTACTGACTGAGTACGGGTATTAAAGTAGAGTCGCGTCCACAGAAGCGACTCACATGTTCCTTCTCGTTTTGTTCATATTTTCTGTTCTGAATAGCTATTGAACTGTTAGGTACATATGCATGTATGTATATAGTTTTATTTAGTTAAATTCTTTGTTCAAATCCCTTATGAAATCATTCTCCAAGTCTTCGATGACACTGTACGATTATGTTCGACTTTAAAATAATTCTACATGTCCAGTGTTCGAGTATTGTTGAAAGGACTTATTTAGGACTTAAAACATTTACTAAACAAATACCTGAAAGTTTTCCTAATTTATCATAAAAATCCCACACAAAATAATGCTATATCCCCTTAAATACATCCTGCATTAAAAGCTTTATTCCATAGAGAACATAACACTCTACAAAAGCCATAAAATAATCTGGTTATTCCAAGATACGATAAAATAGTTTGACCACAAGAATAAAGCTTAAGGTTCCAACTAAATAAGTGACTAATAAATTGGGAATTTTCCAAATGAAGTGCGATAGATACTCGTACTCATTCGCATATAGTAGCTGCGATGTTCTCGCTCGCATTTGTATGTAATCCAATTTGCTAAACATAAGTAATTGCCATCTGGTGTATGGAGTATGGGGATCGGGTTGTTGGATGGTATTGTTTGAGGCAACTCAAGCGTGTATCCCCCGGCGGTGTCGGTCATTCATCTAACTGGCGTCTGTCCACTCCTCCTTTGTATCACTTGAAACATTGTTTGTTATCCACATCAATCGCATGTTTTGTTACACTTTGGGTAAATCACATCTAAGCGCTCTTCTCGTTAAAAGCTACGAGTATATCCAATGCCACGCTTCTCCTCTGACTGTCATATATCTGTCTGGCGATGTCTGTTCGCGTGCCACTCAATTTATACAGGCCGGAGAAACTAATCATTCATACATTGTCTCGTCGCAGCTTTGTTTAAACGGAGATGATTCACATGATTCATGACTTACTTTGCTCATCTGTATCAGGGGTCTAATTGGTGGCTGTGTCTATGACTTGGGTGTTACCTGCCACCTTTTTTGTCACCTTTTTTTTTGGCTAATTGTCCAGCTTGTTGACAGAAAGTGATCACTAGTTTGTGTTTCTAATTGAGGGGGTGTTTTTTTGTTTAAACATTTATACAATGTTATTTGAGGTGTGCTTAAAAATTGGTCATTTCATTATTACAAATACCATAGGGGTCTCGTCTACTTAAAAGTGGGGTGGGGAATGGGGTGACCTTTCCTGCTAGTTCTCTGTCATGCAGCAGCACCCCTCGGTTGGTTTTGGGTTTCTGTCTAGGATTCACGCAGCAAGAAGCTTCGTCTTAATGATGGTGCAGTCATTTAGCACGAAATGCTTGAAATTCGAGTACACTTTTACATGGAAAAGATTAAGTTGAATATCCCATTTATTGATTATTTTGTAGGAGTTTACTAACGAACCCAACCCCCGCGATGACAACACTTTTCATAACTTAAACAAACACGTTAGGAAACTCATAAATTAAATACATCCATTGACCAGTAGTGTCACTAGTTGATGGACATAGATGGATGGGATTACAGAGGACAGGGAAGACAGCCACCCATCCATCCACCCTCCACCTTTATTTATTAAGCCATCAACTAAAGAACAAAGAACGAACTCTGTCTGGATATCAGGTTCCAGGTGCCAGGTTCCGAACCCCAACCCCACTCACCGATTGTGGCTATATTGAAGATGGTTCCGACAACGGCCATCAGCAGGATGGTTCCAAGGTTGTCAAAGAACAATCGATTGGGCATAAAGTACCCCGCATCCAGGATAATCGGTGGCAGCATATAGAAGAAGAACGTGTTGGGGGTCAGTGGGGAGACGGCCACATCGGTGCAGAAATATAGGACTACACCGATGGCCACGCCCACAACAATCAGTAGACATGATTCCGGAAATATTAGATGCAATTTGGGCGTCATATGGAAACCTGAAAGTGACAAGAAACAACATATAAGGAAATATGAAAATTATTACCAAAAGATAAACAGGCAGTTACACAACGCAATTGATAGATATATATACTTTCTATATATTGTAGACAGATGTGTGTATATACATATACATATATTTGGAGGCATGGGGCAGTCGGGTGTACAAAACTATTTCCATTAATTACGAAATGCTTAAGTTTTCTATCTGCTATGGGGCTTTCGGTGTACGCTGCCACAGGGGCTATAAAAGCCAAACAACATTTTCATTTCAATGATGGCAAATTTGCATGCCCATGCCTGTGGCCTAATAACCTTTAACATATCTAGGCGCATACTTTATTGCTGTTTGCAGTTCTGTTATAAGTTCTTTTGGGTTTCAAGGGCAAACAAGAAAGGAAGCCATCCGCAACATTGTTCCCATGAAATGATATTTAAATATGTATCTATAGGATTTAATTAAGCTTTGGCAAAGTTGGGATATTTAATCAGAGTTTTTATATTTAACCAAAATTGAAATGCTCGTACTAAATAAAAAAGAAAACCAATTGAAACGTTAGTGGTGATATTTTTAGTATAAAAAGCCGCACTGGAAGAGAGCAAGTGGTGGAAAGTAGTTCCTACAGCAACAATATATGTACTATATGATATAATGATTTAAATTAAGCATTATTTTGAATTTAAATTAAGAATATTTGTGGGTTCGCTTATCTTGAGAAACAAAACAGCTAACAAGATTTGAAGATTTGTACATTAAATTTCGATCAAAGTTTGTTTACTTTTGTAAAAAATGTAAATCTTTAAATTTTTTTGGATTTCTTTAGAAAATAAAATAGAGTTTTTTACATGCACACTGTAGTTCCTTAATAATTATACATTATATTGCATTGTCTGCAGTAAGTGGAGGAGTCTAAGGAAAGTCTTTAAAAACTTAACTTTTTATAGTTCCGAAGCTATTCAAAATCATTCACTTAATGTTGATCAAGTATGTAAATATTCTATGAGTCCGGAAATGCTTTCTTCTTATGCAAAATTTGAATACACAAATAAGCTGATATTTTTATAAAAATAGAACAATCGGAAGTACGACGCATGATACATTTAGGAGATGTTATTTTTATAAAAACTAATCAGACTTTCTAGGCGGATCGATCTGGAAATGGCTTGGGTATCCGTTTTTCTGTATGTCTGTCTGTTCTATTGAATGTTCTTCTATCTATTCGTTCATTTTTGTTGTTACTCTGTCATTCCGCTAAGGAGAATACCTACATACTAGTAAATATCGAACACCACCGGTGCCAAGGCTAGAGAGATTCTAAAATACCTCAAAAAAATCTAGTTTATGCTGGATTTCTGCATAGAAACTTTTCTGTTTCCATCAACAGGAAGTAAACACAGATGTTCATCTGCTATTAGACCATTAAATCTATCTCCTGGAGCTTCCGCTCTTCCTATAAATATGTTATACCCCGTATTACTAGCTATTTTTTGTCCCCTGGGGGTCCTTGGCCACTTATTCAATTACACAAGCAGAAGCGATTTCCCCACTTGAAAATATAAATTGAAATGGAAACACGCCCAAAACGGCCAAAAGTCCTTGACAGCGGAAATGGATTTTCTCATTCGGCTTTCGACAAGGTTTAGGGCCATGGCCAGGACCACCGACAGAGATAAAAGCGCTTATGTCCAGAGCCTGACATTGAATGCATTTTGGGTGAAAAAAGGCCTCCAAAAATGTGTGTGCAGGTCTCAAGAGATTGCCGGCCGAATGATTTAAATGATTAATGCAACCTCTGGGCAAGTTGTTGCTCTAGGAGGCAGGGCCAGGGTCAGGGACTCGCTTGTGGCACAACAAACGTGTGGGCGGCGGCCGTGTGATGATGGCTGGTTGCCATCAGATTATGCAATGTCCTTCAGTCAGGACACAGACACGCGCGCCCCGACATGATGTAAATCTTCATGAAGGAAGGCATCGCTTTGCTGGGTAGGAATTACATAAACCATATCGATTTTATCCTGGCAGCTGCAGCAACACCGGCAGTAGTAAAGGAAAAGCACGCCCACACTTGAGCAGGAAAAAGGCTTACGAAAGCAGGAAAAACATTTTGCATTTTCCATAATAATTGATTGTCTGCTAATCCAATGGGGGATTTTACTCTTAATTGGCATGCAACATCAAATGGTGATCAAGACCAGAACTGACTTTGAATTATTTTTACAGACGTGTGTATTCTAGTCTTTTCGGTTGGGTCTTAAGTATTTCCATTTAAACAAAAGTTGATTTTCACTTGAAGATTTCGTCATGTGCGTCATGCAATTCATACAAATATTATAAATAATAGCAAATATTAGCTAGTGCGTCTGCGGCAGTTAAAGACCATCTCTCGAGATCTCTTGGCACTGAGATTGTTCTGATCCCTGAGTAAATTTGCTCACTGTTTATTGCCGCAACACTTTTAACTTGGATTGCATTTGTGATCTTGAGAATCAAATACATACCTTCTACAAAGTAATGGTCATTATTTCTACTACTAAAACTCGCACTAGGAGAGATGATGGTGGAGAGAGAGATAGAGAGAGCTGTAAGCTTAATATGAACTCTTGAGGATTGTCCTGTTGCCACAATTTTTCATCCATTGCATTTCTTGCTCTTGGGATGGTCAAGTATTATTTATTTATAATTTTTAATAGATTATAAATCGCAATCTGCGATATCCACAAAGAATTATCGTAACTATTTGATTACAGAATCTGATTGCCATGGTATCATTATTAAAGTCAGAATCAAGAAAACCTTTTCCTGTACTGACTCCTCTGTCACCCCCACTCCTCCTCTCTCTCTCTTTCTCTCACAAACTTACTTAGTAATTAAGTCATTAAGAGAGCAGTGCTCTCCCCCCTTCAACGGTAACCTTATCCGAGTGATACTTTCTAAATAGTTTCTGTAATTAAAATGTTGAACTGTTGCAACTAAAAAAATTCAATAAAAATATTATTTAAAAATGTTGAATACGAATCTATGTAAACACCAAAAACAAAACTCATTTAAGCCCCTACTTAAGTAAGGAATATACTAGTATATACTACATAGTACTGTGAACCCTTCTACAAATCGTGTATTCGTACGTTAAGAATTCTTTGTATAAACCTGTATTACTTACCAATTTTGGCTATACTAGCCGACAGTATCCACACTCCAATGATGAACGGAGTCTTGACATGACCAAAGTCCACCTGAGAGAGCGGATACCGCTTTATCTCCTGATGGCCACCACCATCATCTGCATCTGCTTTCATCTCCAAGGCAGTCATCTCTTCCAGGGATTCCACTCGTGGCACTTTCAGAGGCGGCGTTGTCGCATCATGGCCCACTGCTGTTTCCGCTGTTGTCTCTGCCAGCTGTGGGTATAAAATGATTTAATTATTTGGGGGTTTATAATTGGCCAACAAAATCAAATGCCAAATATTGGACAGGGCATTTAATGTCAGGAAAATGAAGTCCAGAACAAACAGAAACATAAATCAAATGAGGCTTAACCATGGGAGCATAGCCCTCCCCTTTAGCCGTGGGTTTTGGGGGCAACGTTTAGTAGCACGCCAACGGAAAATTACAATGATTTTCATTAATGGCTTAAACGGTGTCTCCGAATTTTTGTGAATGAATGGAAGCGAAACCTTTCCAATCCAAATGTCTATGCATAAATTATAGCATTATAGTCCGCTGAAAATGTTGATCTAGGTCAGTGAGTGAGTGACTCTTAAACAAGAAGGCTAGACATCTATGGAATCTATAGATATGTATATGTACATACATATGTCACACAGATTCAATGAATATGGTACGAGTGTAAACAGAATTAAGGTTAATCATTTTGCCTGTAGATGAAAGTTGTTTTAGATATATGTATGTATGTACACATAGAGATACATGCGTATGCGAGTATCTCTTCAACTTGAATGCGTAGATGAAGTCAACACGCTTTGCTAATTAATGGTTGGCTTCTCACACAATGTGGTTTTGTGGGATTTTAACAAATCAAATTTCATTGTCAATATCTATTAATAGAGCCAAAAGAGCAAAAAAGAATTTTTTTTATCAGCACGAGTCTCACTGGGATAGAACCACCAGACAGATGGAAATATATATGTCAAGTTTCACTGGGATAGAGCTAGACAGAAATACAGATGGATGTAAATCAAAGTCTAGCAAGTGACGTCAATCCTTCAGAGGGGGAATTGTGATAAGGTATTCCTAAGATATCTCCCAAGTCATGTGAAGTCTTGCAAGCTGTCATTCACCTCATAGAAATACTCAGGGGATTTATCACTCAACAAAATTGATGGAAAACTTATAAACTCATCAAAATAAATTTTCCATGAATCGTATTATTATCTTTTTTCTATTTGTGTATTGAAGTATTTACACAGACACATCGCACAATTCTCCCCCACTGCCCATTGACATGTTTATGAGCTAATTTAACAGACGGAACGAAATGAATCGAGTATTGTGTAAATACTTGTCCGACTCGAGTCTTCTGTAGACTCAAATGAACTTCAATGATAACCAAATAGGAAGGAACTGCAATTGCAATTGCATTCTGAATGGGGAATTTCTCAGCTTAGAACTGTTCGAATTGTCATCAAAAGTGTTTCCCATCATCAACACATTGCGGCATCTTTCTTTCGGATATCACTAATTACGGTTTTTAAGGGGTTTAATTTATGATTTTGTCAGCTTTAAGTCCCTATTTTCAAATGTTACGACTAGAAGAATACCTTGTTTTCGCATTAAGTTATTGCTTTGTCTCTTCATACACTATTAAAAGGTTCTATTTCCAAATTTTGAGAGTGTGTTTAAAAATTTGACGTTCAAATTTAAGTCCAAGAGTCTTCAAATGATAATGTAAGCACAAGTAAATCTCCCCGGTAGATCGTTATGATTGTGGTATGATGATCGTTCTTCTGTTGATTAAAAACCGAAAAATATACCCCAAACTCCGTTAAAAGGGTACAGGGTTTCAATTGTTTTGCTTTTAAACCGAAAAAAACGTTTCCCCTCCGCCGCAAACATTGATTTCGTTTTGGAGTTTCTGTGTGACATTTTGTACTCACATTTCCTTGGGTGACAGCTCCTTCCGCTCCATCCGCTGTCGAGGCCGCGCCCACACTGGCCCTGGTGTTGGGGCGTGCCAGAGTGGTGCCCGCCAGCAGACAAAAGATGGCGCAAAGGACAAGCATCCTTCGGTTTAAGCCACCAAGTGGCATCCATCTGCTCCTCTGATTGGATGTGCAGCAGCAGGTTGTTCTCATCGGTGGTTGTTCATTATTTTTGGTTTCAACTAACTCTATCCTGTGCCTGTGCCTGTGCCTGGCTGTGGTTCCATTAATCTCTATAGCACCATTCAAAGGACATTCCTTGCTGGTTTTCCTGCTGCTCCAGCAGGCGCGTCTGGCCAGATTCATTTCCTGTTGCAGTGCCGGTGTGGCACTGTCATAGTCCTGTTCCGTAAGGCTGGCCATTGTGTTGCCACCTTAGGGATATCCTGTGGGTTATTTTGGGGGTTGCTTTTCGGTTGATTCGGACTACTCCATAGGCATTGGTTCTTTATAGCCTCCTTCTTGTTCCTTTCAGTTGCTGCAAGGAAAGAGAACAAATATTGGATTCAATTTGTATTTTTTTTTCTTACTTTTTTTTTGTTATCACTCCCTTACAATCGACCGACCTTTCACAATAACCAATTGAAACTGGTTCAAGCCCACACAATTCACTAACCATGAAGACTGATGCATCATCTACATACGAGTATATCATCTATAGATTCCACAGATATTTACCCATTCCATTTAAAATCCATGCCATAATTCACACATTAATCGCTTGACTTTTTATTCCCATTAAATAAAACTCTCTTTCTTTTCTTTGTAAGTGTTTTTTTCGGCTCTTTTTTTATGAAGCAGCAGGTGCAAATAAAAATGTGCTAAAACCTAAAGGTGAAATACCAATCCCATCTGTTGCTGCTGCGACACGTGATTTTCCACAATTTTCAAACCGGGGGGATGGGTGTGGATCTGCCAGCCATATTCTACCATATACGAGCTTGTATAATATATAGTGGGAGATCAATCATTCACACTGGATAATAATGAAATCTTTAAAGATCAATCTAATACATTTTTTGGGTTTTTTTGAAGCAAAAATAATAAAAGTTATCAGAGAAACATTCGAAATAGTTCGAATTCTAGCATAGAATCTACTCAATTATGACCCTACAAGGAATACCATCATTAGCCTTTAGAATTATCTTGAACATATTTAAATAAAATTAAATGTAAATGATTTAAATCACAAGTTTAGCTGAAACTCGTGATCATTCAATCAAAGTTACATACCAATAAATAGCTCTTATTTATTTCCAATGTTAATTTGTAATCAGTTTTATGTATTTTAAACGCAGTCAGTGACTATTGTTAGACCTTTTGATTAACATAATTCACATAGAAAATTAGCAAGGATTTGGATGATAAGATATACAGATGATAAGTATCTTTCGGTGGTACCCCACCTTCTGCTCTGTAGACAATATTTGTTTTTCGAACTGGATAGATCCAGTGCACTTAGCGCCATGCGAAATTGGTATCTACATAAGTTAATAACGGGCGTAAATATGAGCAGCTATAAACCAGAAGCAGAAGCAAACAAAAGCCAAACAGCCCGACATTCAGGTGCCCAGAGCTTCTGTTGGCTGTCGGAGGTCTTTAGAGTGTGCGGTTCCCTCTCCGGTTCTGTGCTTCGCTGTGTCGGATAACCAGTAAAGTTACCACTGGCGATAAGAACTGATTTCAATGGAGTATTTGCTAAAATTATATGATCCGGCATAAAGCCTTATCTATCAAGTGCGCGCTCTCGACTGCGACACCCAGATAAAGTCTCGGTGCTTGAATTAAATTAAATAATTGTGACATACTCGTACTCGTACACATGTTTCAACCAAGTGGATGATGGATATCCTCCCGCTATCATCTGCCATCTGCCATATCATTCCGAGGTTGGAGTTGGAGATAGTCCCACCTTTAATCTCTTAATGATGTTGATTCGCTGTAGAAATTTACCTTAAGCGAATGGATTTTAACAGGCATTTGTGAACGTTGCATTTAATATTTAAGGGAATGTAAATTAGACATAAAAAAAATTGATATAAAAGCGCTCCTCGGTATTCAATTCCTTCGAATGCTTTCGGCCAAAGCTTTTTCTCAGTATTTTCTTTTTCGTGCCATGTTAAGTAGTCTCAAAAGATTTCAGTCAATGTTCATCTTTTATTCTGCGACGTCACCCAGGCAAACGCACAAGCCAAAAGTGCAAAAGAGAATTTCCAATTCGTAGTGCTCGAATGAGCTCTGGGTATAAATAATACTCGTATGCTAGCTATTATTTCAAGAATACTGCGTGAAAGGCTCTATATGATACGAGGATATGTGCTGCTGCTAACGGAACTAGGGTGCAACAGGGTTTGCCCACATTATTACAAATAAAATTGATGATCAAAGAGTAATGCTCATAATAGTATTAGGATATGGCATTTCCTCTGCTTCTATCAATTTGATCTTGATATTCCTTTGAGATTGTCCTTCCTGTTCTTCTTTCCGTCCTACCTCAAGGCGCACACGAGTATTACTCAACTTCAAAAACTGATTTAAACCACTAACCCAATTGGTTGCAAACCGATGATTAGATTAGCAACAGACACACACAGACTCAGCACATTTTCAAGTTCAGTGACTCTGATTTAAAACTGACATTAACCGCCGCGATGGCTGTAATCGAAGAAGCGTGAACATAAATTCGTTGGGCCAAATCGCGGCAAAATAGACGGTGCAAACAGTTTGCTTTAATTAATAGCTTGAGCGAATTCTCTAACAAAACAGAACAGTGGATGCAATTGGAGATTCAAGTGGTCTATTAGCATAATTTTGGCGAATTGTGCATTCAAAATAAACAAATCGTAGAGCACTAGAAAATAAGTAAAAATAAATAAATAATCTAGATTTCAGAGTTTCTTTAGCTTTAATTATCGCCCAGATAGGTCCCTGTCACATCTCTAGAGATCTTTTGCTGTTCTATCCACTGTATAAAATCATTTCACCTCGCGAAGCAACCGAGGAAATCCTTGGAAATCAAGCAGCAAGTGCGCCACCATTTAATTGATTTCTTCGCACATCGCGGGCCATGCGCCGGAAAATGTGTTAATATTTAATTTAAGTTTACTTTATGGTCCGAACCCTTGAACAACCCATTCCCCTTTGGTGCCCTGGGGCCACAGACGTGAATTGGGGGACTGATTCCCCTCAATCTCTCTCTCTCTCTCTCACCTCTTTGTTTACTTTTCCCGCCAAAGAGTGAGGATTTTGTGCCAGCAGCAGAGTTCAAGTTTAGCCAGCGCAATATATTGTATAATTCAAAGGTCACTCGAATATATGTATTTATCTAGTATATATTCATGAAAATAACCAATTGGGCAGCAATGTGAATATAATGGATATGGCATGATATATATTTTGGCCAGGGACCAAGTTTGTCTGTTTGTCTGCTTGTCTGACGCTCACGTAAAAACTGTTTGCCAATGAAACAGAAAATATTGAATTATGGCAAACAAAATATGCATACAATATGTATATATTTTTAGGGGTTACATTTTGACGGGACTGTACCTGGAGAGGCGGAACGAAACGGTAGCTGTACTCGATGGAACTGTACTAGGAATATGCAGAGACGGAGATTTAATTGTAGCACCTGTACTTTCTTATCTTTTATGAACTGTACTTGTCCTTGGTAAGACTGTTTCAGGAAGCCAAAGAATTACACTTCATCTGACTGTACTTCAGGAATATAATACATAATTACATACATGTACGTTGTTTAAAGAACTCATCATTAGATTCTCCCTGTACCTGCAATAAGTGGGATCTCTGATTTAAAGTAGTTGGTCATGGAAGAATGGATTTTGTTAAGCCAATAAACCAAGAAGAAATAAAGTTGCATTTGATGCGACTACACTTTAGGATGTTAAAATTTATTGCTATGACTTATGAATTCCATGAGTTCCTCAAAACCTTTTTAATTTTTTTTTAAAGAAAGTTACTTTTGTTTTAGTTCTGCACTATGAAGCTATTGCTTAGAGATTTTATCTCTTTTTAGGTACATTTAATGGGACTTATTGGGATACCAATTTACCTTTCAGGACTGTAATTTGGTTTCCTTTTTTGAGACTGTACCGGTAAGACTCGTATTTGCCTTTGGGAGTCAATTCTTTGTCAAAATCAAAGTGCCTTCTACTAAAACTGTACCAGAAAGACACCGAAATTCTATTAAAATCGATCCGAATTGGTATCCGGTTAAAGCACGAATTGGAAATGAATCTTCCGCCTCCCTCCATTCACTGACCAAAAACTCCAATTGTGTTGTCCAAGTTGTTTTTTGTTGGTTGAACTTCCCCTTCCGAGATTTGTCGTTACGCTTTCTGTAGCGGCTAATCGATTAAAAAATGGCCCGCACACACACAATAGAAAAGTGGAAAATGCCATCGCTGTTGGCAGAGCGAATCATACACATTATTTAAAAACAAATCAAATTCTAAATTGATTTATGAAAAATGCAACCGGTAAATACCCACTCTTACCGGTTTCAAGCGATTATCCAGAGAACATAGAACGGAACACAACAGAAAGCGACACAACAGAGAAACGAACGAAACACATTAATACCTAGGAACTTGGCCGGAAAACTGAACGGGTGCATGAGGCTAGCAATAGAATTTAAGTTGCAAAATATGGTAAAAGTATTTACACACCATAGGATATACACAGATGTGCATTGGAATAATATGTATGTACATTGTACATTTCCCCGTCGATGCCAACTTGAATAATGACTGTTTACGACTGAACAAAAGTTCCATTGTCTGGGTTCCATCGGTTTCTGCGGTGTTCCTGAGGCATGTTCCGGCAAAAATTGTTTTTCCAATAACATTTTATTCTATTATTTTATTTCTGAATGAATGAATGCCAATGCACGCCCGTGCAGTGGAAAGGGGCCTATTTGATGATTATGATCACCTAAACTGTTTGAACAGGTCAAACAAATATTTTGTAAAAGCAATAAATATTTATTTATATATTTCTCTTTGTAAAGCAAATTTTTATAAGGAAATTTGCCATATTAATTCATTTATTACGAGTCAGGTAGCACGAATTTAAACTTTTGTAAATTGACTGAATAGAAAATCGCAAAAATTCAAGGTAATCAACCTAACGTCGCTTGGCATATCAATGAGAGTTGCATAAATGGAAAAGAGTCATAGAAATAAGGGTTTGTTTGAATGGATTTACATTTCAAAACAAGTCAATTCTCAGGGGATAAGAATTAAGAAGTTTAATTTAGATTTATAGTTTTTTTTTATTCTTTTTTTATTGACAATTTCCGAATATTTCAAAAGATATAATATCTCAAAGGATTGGAATGGAAAATATTTTTTTTTCTAA